CGTGAGTTTAAGCCACTGGGCCTGGGACTTGAACCGCAGTTGACTACATGGGAGTCTAGTGACATAGCCATTATGCCAACTGCTGGTCCCCACCTAACCTGATTCTAAAACAGCATTTTCTACAGAGGATTTAATGACCGTCACCTGAGAAAAACTGCATGCGCTCAAATAACACTGGGAAACAGCAGCCGGGCGAGAACACGGACCAGCGCCTCTGCCGCCCTCACTGGAGCTCTTCACGTGCTAATCACTGTGACTCCCAGCAGGAGGAGCTGGCCACGCGGTTTTCCAAACTTACCTGTCAGCAGGATCCTTTTCTGTGGTTGTTTTTGCTCTAGGGGGTGTGCACTCTCCAGAGACAGAGGGTGGGAAAGTGAGAAATCCCCCCCCCCGGGGGGGGTGACCACACCGCAGTCCCTCTCTTCCAGTGCCCTGTTAAGATTTTGGACACACATGCACACGCACCCTATGTGATTTTCAAGTTGCCGGGTCTGGGACTCAAACTGTGCAGTCGGCCATGTGGAATCCAGTGCCTTAACCTCTACGCCACCTTCTGGCCAAGCAGAACCCTTTTTATATAGAGCATCTTGCAAAATCAGCATTCTGAGGGCCATACTCTGGGAAATAATGCTTAGTTGTTTTGAGTGCAGTCCAAGGACGCCTGCATCAGAATCTCCTTGGGGGCTCATTATTATTATTTTTTAGGAGGTTTTTGCCTTAGGGTACATGTACTTGCCAGAGAGAGAGAGACAGAGACAGTGAGAAGGAAAGTGAGAAATCACGCCCCAGTGGGGTGACCATTTCACAGTCTCTTCTCTTCTATTCTCCTGCCGGGATCTTTTTTTTTTTTTTTTGGAGAGGTTTTTGCTATAGGGCGCGTGCACTCGCCAGAAAGGCAGAGAGAGACAGAGAGACAGAAAGCGAGAAATCACCCCCCATGGGGGATGGCCACACCGCAATCGCTTCTCCTCCATTCTTCTCTTGGGATCTTGGGCACACACGCACACGCACCCAGCATGAGTTTAAGCCACTGGGCCCGGGACTCGAACTGCGGTCGGCTACGTGGGAGTCCAGTGACATAGCCATTATGCTAACTGCTGGTCCCTAATTGGGTCATCTTAAAATTTTTGGAAGCTGCTAGTAGACTTGACTCTGAGATCAGCAGGTGGTGTGGTGCTTAAGGTGCTGGATTCCCACACGGCCAACTATGGTTCAAGTCCCAGACCTGGCATCTTGCTTTCTCACTTTCTCTCTCTCTCTGTGTCTTTCTGTTGAACATACATGTCCTGTAGCAAATTTTGAAAAACAATGGTAAATAAAATATTATATATATATATATATAAATGGTAAATAAAATAAATTACATATATATATTTTTTTTTTTAAGGGAGGGTAGAAAGAAAGAGGAAGACATAAAGACCTGGAAATAGAGGGTACCTCGGGACAGAGTCAAAGGGACAGCAAAGGTCTGTACCAGGACAATGACTGGGCAGCAGGCCGAGAGAGCTGAGTCCAGAGCAGACAAGGAGGTCAGAAGACGCTGATACAAGAAACAAAAGCATGACACAGGAACTTCCTCATAGCTTTGAACGTGTAGAAATTGTTTGTAAGACAGGGTCTTGCCATGTAGCAACTCTCTTGCCTCAGCCTCCTGAAGTGGCTGGGATTTTAGGTGGGTGCCATGGCACTGGCCTTTAGGTTAGACCAGGAATTGAACCTGGGCCTCTTATGTGGTCCCATCCTAGGGAGCACAGCATCTTGCACTGTGTACCACCATGGCTGGGCTGGTACTGAACACTGTCTCCCAGGGCGACTGGGGGGCAGGGAAGGATTTGATCAAGAGATCACATGGAAATCTGAAGCAATTATGAACTCCGGGAAAACAAGACGATTGTGCAAGGAGGAAAACATTTCACATAGATTACTTGTCTCAGTGGGCATTAATATTCGTAGTCATGTAAAAAAAAAAAAACACTTGCATGTCTTCAGTGAGGTGATGGTATACCATTGTCCAAACTTATTGAACTCTCCCTTTAAAAATTAAAGCACATTTAATTGATTTATTTGTTTATTTTAAGAGAGAGATTTGCTATAGGGTGCATGCACTTGCTGGAAAAACAGAAAGAGACAGAGAGACAGAAAGTGAGAAATTACACCCCTTCCCCCAGGGGAATGGCCATGTTGCAATCCCTCCTCCATTCTCCTCTTGGGATCTTGGGCACATGTGCACATGCGCCCAGTTTGAGTTTCAAGATGCCAGGTCTGGAACTTGAACCGTGGTTGACTACGTGGGAGTCCAGTGACATAACCATGAAACTATCTGCTGGTCTATACCTTGATACCGCTAACTAAAAAGAATTTTTTGCCTATAAATTGGTATTGAAATGTGTAAAAACAATGAATCCTTTATACCCAGTATCCACTTCTAGGATTCTCTCCTGAGGAAAGAATTAAGCCATAGAGGCAAATTCAGGTCATATGGGCAGTGAAATTCCTCCTCCATCCTGTTAGGGTCCCAGGTAGGCACGAGATTAAATTGACATAAAGCAGATTAACCAGAGAAAAGTACATTTATTTAATACAAGTTTTATGTGGCAGAGGAGCCCTCCTAAGGAAAGGAGACCTGCAAAACTCAGGGCCACTCATACAGGTGCTCTTCAACATGTGGGGGTCGCATCCCAACAAACCCACGGTAGGTTGAGAATGTTGCCAAGCATATAGCACATGCTCAGCCTGCCTGCCCTAAATGTGTCAGAGCACCACATCAGCCTACAGTTGGGCAAATCAGCTGCCTCGGAGCCACATGGCCAACTGCAGGTCGAGTCCCAGACCCAGCAGTAAACTAGAAGATGGCTCATGTCATTCGTCAAATCCCATGCTGAAGGTATGGGTACTCGAGGTGTGGTTTCTGCTGAATTTGTATTGCTTTCACCACGCTAGGGTCGACAAATTGTAAGTCTGACCATTTAAGTGGGGATATGTCTGTACTGAATTGGACAGGGTAGTAAGTCGTGAAGAAGGAACTAATTATGTGGGAAGGCTTAAAAGAGTTATTATTATTTGTAAAAATGTTCTGTAGGGCATGTGCACGAAAGAGAGAGAGAGAATGAGAAAGCAAGCCACGAGGTCCTCGACTCGAATCGCAGTCGGCCATGTGGGAGTCCCGTGCCTTACCCACCACGCCACCTGCCGGCCCCAAGGTAAGTGTTATTCTAATAAGGTCTCTGAATTCTCTGGATCACAATTTCTCAACCTTGAGGATAAGAATAAGAATGTTGTGTCTCGGGAACCAGCAGTTAGCGTAATGGCTATGTCACTGGACTCCCACGTAGTTGACCGCGGTTCGCGTCCCGGACCCGGTGGCTTAAAACTCACGCTGGGCACGTGTGCGTGCATGCCCAAGATCCCGAGAGGAGAATGGAGGAGAAGGGATTGCGGTGTGGCCATCCCCCCTGGGGGGTGATTTCTCGCTTTCTGTCTCTATGTCTCTGTCTATCTGGCGAGCGCATGCGCCCTATAGCAAAAACCTCTCAAAAAAAAAAAAAAAAAAAGAATGTTGTGTCTCTCACATGAGAATCTCGCCTCCTATTGTACATTAAAAAAAAAAAGAATTATTTCATTTTATTTATTGTTATTGTTCCATTTGACCAGAGACAGACAGAGAATCAGAGAGAGAGAGACTGAGAAAATAAGCCACCAGGTATGGGACATGAACCGTGATTGGCCATATGGAAGTCCAGCGCCTTAACCACCATGCCACAACACAAAGAGCACAATGATCCTTTTGCACCTACTGTTCCCAAGCACCTTTTAAACATTATTATTATTATTTTGAAGTTTACTATAGGGCCCATGTGCTCATCAGGGAGAGGAGAAAGTGAGAAGGCAAGCCACTAGGGTCGGGACTTGAACAACAGTCGGCCATGCGGGAGTCCAGCACCTTACCCACCACACTACCTGTTGACCTCCCCCTCGCCCCGCCAAGTACCTTTAACCTATATAAGCAATATACCAGAGTGGCATATTTTTAACTCCTTTGTATTCTATTTCTGCCTAAGTTCTGACAAGCTACTCAAGCTTGTGAAACCTGTTTCCTCACCTGTGAAATGGGGACAATAGTGCCTCCCGCACTGCCATTCCGAGGAAGAGAGGAGATCACAGAGTGAGGTGCAAGGCGGTGCTGTGGTCTGAGTGTGTGCCTCCAGCATTCACAGGGTGCAACTTAATCCTTCCTGTGAAGTATTAAGAGTGGGGCTTTGGAGGTGTGATTAAGCCCTGGGAGTGGAGCCCTCGTGAATGGAATCCGAAGAGAGGTGAGAGAAGGACAGCAGGTGGCATGGTAGTTAAGGTCCTGGACTCGCACATGGCCAACTACGGTTCGAGTTCTGGATCTGGCAGCTTGAAAGTCACACTGGATACATGTGGCTGTGTGCCCAAGATCCAGAGGAAAATGGAGGAGAAGGGATTGTGGCGTGGGGTGACTTCTCACTTCTTCTTCACTTTTGCCATGTGTATGAAGCAAGTGCGACTCCATCCTGGAAGTGTGATTTCATTTTAGAAACTGTGCCTCCTCCTCCCTCTCCCCACCAGTGCAGATAAGATGCGGAAGAAGCCCCACTCCCAGGTGCCTCGGGAACCTTGACCCGAACCAGGGAAGCCATTAAAATTCCATTGTAATCAGAGCTTCCCCTCAAGACTAATTAACCTGAAGATAGAAAACCCTCCCCTATCTCTCCTGAAGCCCTTTCATTTTGTTCCTTTGTCCTTGTAGATCATCTGTGCATGTTTAAAAAAATTATTTATTCATTCATTTATTTTAATTTGATCAGAGAGAGAGAGATACAGAGAGAGAGGGAAAGTGAGAAAGCAAGCCACCAGGTCTGGGACTTGAACCGTGGTTGGCCATGTGGGAGTGTCCAGCACCTTAGCCACCACACCACCTGCTGCTCCCCTCGTCTGTGCATTTTTGGCCTATATAAGCTCCTTTCTCCTTTCACTTGGGGCTGCGGGGTTTTGAGAGACGCAAGTCCCTCCATATGCCGCCGGCTTAATCAATAAACTCCAATCAATTCGGCTGTCTGGACATCCTCTTATTTCTCGCTGAGTAGACTACATTTGGAGGCACAGTGAGATCTGCGCCTGTCTAGTACGTGGGTGAAGCATCCTAGGGAGAGTGGCCTCGCTTGCTCAGCTGCCATCTACCCAGAGACTGCTCTGGGGAAGGCGCCCCCTGGGACTTCCCCCCAGGGACTTCCCAGGGCCCTGGAACTCTTCTCAGGATTGTGGACAGCTGACAAGAGACGCTGACTGCTCCTCCAGAAGCGTGTGGAGTTTCTTTTGCTGTAAGACCTCCGGAGGCATTTCCTTGGGTGTTCTGTCCTGTCCTGTCCTCTTTGCTTCGGAGAAGACAAACCGGTGAGTAAGGGGTTGGCTATGGGAGGAGCCCCCTGAAGTCTGGCCTGGCTGGGACAAGGGCTGTAAACCCTTCTCTGTAGGTGGCTGGGACTCAGGGCTTACTGGACACGGTTACAGAACACTTACTCGGGTTCCACCAGATGTACTTGGAACCCCGGGGCGGGGTGCCTGTAGACGGTTTGGGGAAACCCGGGCAACTCGGGCTGGAGGCCCTTGACAGGGGTCTTAGGGATTCTCTGGGTTTCTACTGCTTTTACTGTTGATTTGCTTATTTCCTTCGGAACCTCTAGGAAAATATTTCTTGGTTCTATCCCTTATCCCCTTCAGTGGGGAATACAGAACAATGGATTACTGACCTCACACACCAGGGGGTTCTTTAAGAATTTTACTCTGAAGAGTTTGAAATGTTTGCTTGCTTGCTTCTCTTCATTCTCTGATTGGTGGGAGGGAATGTTACAGCCTCTGGTGTGCTGGGTGAATGAAGGATTGTACGTCTGTGTTTGCGGGCCCACGGCGAAAAGCTATGGGATCCGACTGTGTCCAGTCCTGCGGGTTCCTGGAGTCCTCATACGGCTAATCAGCGCTGGGGGTCACTGACCCTCCCTGCGCGTGTGACCCTACGGCGGGCTTATACCGGTTACCGAAGCTAAGAGGCTCCCTGAGGTCCCGGTAAGGGGTGCAGCTAGGCAGACGCCTGAGTGGTCCCCTCCCTTGTATGAGGGGCTTCCCAACCTTTGTTTGTCCTATAGTGTCGTCTGGTGGGGAAAAATGAAAAGACTGCTCATGTGAACACACATGGCTGGCGGACCTCTCTGTGCCTGGAGACTGGGCCCGTTCTTTATTTTTTTTTTTTTTGGAGAGGTTTGTTTGTTTTTTTTTGTTGTTGTTGTTGTTATAGGGCGTGTGTGCTCGCCAGACAGACAGAGAGAGACAGAGAGATAGAAAGCGAGAAATCACCCCCCAGGGGGGATGGCCACGCCGCAATCCCTTCTCCTCCATTCTCCTCTTGGGATCTTGGGCACGCACGCACATGTGCCCGGTGTGAGTTTCAAGCCACCGGGTCCGGGACTTG